CGATCAGGGTGTAATGAGGATGTTCCATGTTGCTTAGCGACGTCTGTGAAAAAAGCAGCGGACTCCGTCAGATCGGATGTTGCCATCAGCTAATTGGTGGCTGTCCTCCCCCTGCCTTAATAAATAAGCCCCCCCCCCCCTTCGCCCTAGTTTCCCCGTTTCCCCGAGTGAAAATTTCATCTTTTTCTTACCTTGACAGTTGACAGACAGTAAGGAAGACGGAGTGGATGGCGACAGTGTTAACATGCAGATAGCGAACCCCACCACACCTGCGCAGTACTTCCACTTATTACGTCAACAGGTGAGATCAAATGGATGAAGGGAGAGCAGCGGCAGTCGTCTGGCAATCAACTACTCTTAGTGGTTATAATATTACCTTGAGTAGGAGATTAGTCTGATTGTTATTGTAAAATGAACTGTAACGCTATTCTTAAAACTGATAACTTTAGTCTGTTCACATTCGTTACTTTTTTTATAAGCGAGGGGGGAAAAAGTTCTTTGCCAAACCACTACCCACCCCTGGTGTTCGCGTTTACAACTCCACCTCGTTCTATATTTTACTCGCGCTTTCAAAGATCTTTTAGATGAATGGAAGGCTCTGTTCCACTCTGTTCTTAGCATGTTTATCGTGTTAGCATACATAGTACTATTATTATTGTTAGAACTGAACACTGGCAAAAATTGACCAAAGGTGATGCTAATTATTGTAGCTAAACTAGCTTGTTAGGAGCCTAATTCTTTTTTTCTCTCGTTCAGATGGTACGCAACTTTCGCAAACCTCTAATTGTCGTTGGACCCAAACTCCTGCTAAGACTTCCAGTGAGTAAAGCATTCAGTTTGATTGTATACTCTATGGTTTGTGAGAATCAACAATAACGTATTTGGTTCATCTTTCTGCCAGGTTGCTGTATCGTCTCTTAAGGAGATGGGCCCAGGGACCCATTTTAAACCAGTGCTGGGAGACGACACTGTTAATAGTGCCTCAGTGACGCGTGTAGTATTCTGCTCTGGGAAGCATTATTACGCGCTGGCAAAACAAAGAGAAACAACTAACAGCATGGACACAGCCATTATTAGACTTGAGGTTAGCACCTGATTGCAGTTCTCTGAATATTAGTTTAAATTACTTTTTTCAAGGCATCTTCAAGGCTTGATTACTAGCCGCTGTTCGGGACTTCCTCCTCGAGGAGTAACTTAGACAGGACTCCAGAGAGCGGTGGAAATCGAGCTGAGGCATCGTCATGAAAAACTGTTCCTTGGATACCGCTTTTTTTGCGCGAGTTCAGACAGATTACATTCGGACGCCTTTAAAATGGGAAGGTGGATGTGGCAAAAGTCTACTTTGTAGGAATCTTTTCTTATGTAAACTAACCTTGATGATGTACTTATGAGCGTCATCAACGCGGTTTGCGTTTAACTACCAACGCAAAACTTGTTGAATTCAAAACGGAGACGAGTTTACTTCGAGTTTAAAACGCGTTTGATGGTCGCTTCTCTCTGAGCGAAAATACGAAATGGACGGTTAAAAGATTAAGGTGGAATATGAGCGTCAAACTTGAAAAAAAAAAAATGGCGCATTTTTCGAAGGTGCGTTTTTTATAATGTGGTTACAGAGTAAACCTTGTTTGGATGTTAGAAATGTTCTGGGTTTAATTTTTTCCCATCTCCTTTTTTCTCTCTAGTCATTATGCCCGTTTCCTGTTGAGATGCTTCGTGAAGAGCTGCAGAAGTTCCCAGGAGCGAAAGGTGCGTTATTAACTTCTTAGTTTTGCAATTATTTTTTTTTTGACATTTTGTCTATCCAGTTCGTTCAGAAAATTTGCGATCGATTCAGTCGTCGACTCGCTAAATCAGTGACGAAGAATTTTTTTTTNCTGCTGTTTTGAAGTGAAATTAAGAATAACTTTGCTTAAATTCTTAACTTCTTTTTCTCTCAAATTCAGAATTTGTTTGGAGTCAAGAAGAACACAGGAATATGGGAGCTTGGGGTTTTGTCTCGCCGCGATTTGAGAACATCCTAGGAATCAAGGTAAGAGCGGACGCTTTCAGGCTTCCATTTACAACAAAACACCTTCATTTTACCTCCTGATGTGAAAATTCCTCTGGTATCTTTGCGCGCTGCTTAATTCTTTCCACGCTTGATAGACTCGATCCAAAAATTCCATACTGACGACGCAATTCCATAGAGATCCGTGTCTCTCATTGGTTGTGAAATGCGCGGGAGAGTTGAAAGTCGAGAACCAAGCGATGAGATACGCTAGCGTTGTTCAGTTTAATTCTGCAAAGCGTTATTAACTGATCGACTAATTGATTTATTACTTTAACAATTTTATTCATTCCCTCTAGCTCCAGTATGTTGGTCGCAAAGTTTTGGCTGTGCCCGCAGTGGGTATTGGGAAGTTACATGCACAAGAAGTAACCGACATTCTGAGTGGCACATTTCCAAATAAGGCGAAATAACCGCGCTGCTAAGCACAACCAAGATGGACAGAAACCATCCCGACCTCTCCCTTCACAAATGGCTGTTCGCACGTTTATGGATCTGAGCTTCTTCGACACTGGCGACACTACAAGGCGGATCGTGACCTCAACGAAAACGCAGAATGCGGGGGATTCTAAATGGCATTTTTTAAACAATGACTGGGGACTTAAAATTAGTAATAACACTAGAATTAAATCTAGTAATAAGTTATTACTAATTTATTACCTTAGAATGCCAAAAACTAAACACACTTTTTAAAGTATCCGATAATTCACGAGTAGAGCTGGCCAAAAGATCAGGACCGTGACTGACTTATGCGGCCAAAAGCATATAACATAAATAGGAATGTTTAAACATTCTCTACGAGTAGCGTCTCTTACATAAGTTAATAGTATTTATTTAACTGGGGGATATTTAAAGTATTTTTAAAATAACTTAATATTCTTACCTTTTAAAATGACCTGTAATAGGAAAAAAAGAGAAAACTTGTCACCATTTAACGACAAGCAACTTAGGATGTGAAATCAAAATACATTTTCTTTCAATCGATGTTCGTTCGTGTCGTTTTACTTAACGTATTAGGTTTGGTTGAAATAAACCTTGGTATAAAATTATGATTTAGTGTTGCATAGGTGAACTGAAACAAAAGGCTTGTTTTTTTTCGACGCTCCGCTCCATGTCCCATTTCCAGGGGCATGGAGCAGATCTGTTTGTTGAAATATCTGGTCCCCAGCCAAGTTCTTGCTGGCTGGAAGACCCAAGGGTACTCATCCTTATTTACCAAACCCTGCTTTTGTAAGCCACTAATATTTCAAGGGCTTCAAGCCAAGAATCTTGAACTAGCAGTGGAACGCAACGAGTCAGGGCCTTCAATCGTGGGCACAAAGTAACTAACAAAGAAGCAAATTTAAAATGATTCTCTAGCTGCTGGAAAATTTATATGTTCCTTTTTACCAGCAGAATTACTGCGCCTTTCAATAACATGCGGACTCTAAAATTCAAAGCTCAACCGACAAATGCGTTTTTTGCTACCCTCAATCAAGTGTTCGGCGGCTCCTCCCAGCTTCCGACTACTGCCGAGCGCGGTAATCAAATCAAATCGTTGAGCACAGTTCAGACAACATAGTCGGAAGCTGGGAGGAGCCGCCGAACTTTTGATTGACGGTAGCGAAAAGAGCATTTGGCGGTTGAGCTTTGAATTTTAGAGTCCGCATGTTATTGAAAGGCGCAGTAAATGGCTGGACTTCTACTTCCCGAAGTGTTCGTAGTGTGCGCCAATCGCCGCTTTTCATTTGACGTCATCATTTTCCAAAATAAGAAATTACCGATCCTTCTGAAGTTTTAGTTTTATCAGACGTAAGGCCCTCTAATAACTTGACATTTTGCAACGTTCAAGCTCGACAGGGTTCCTCATTTTGAAATGGGGCACGTTTGAATTTCCAAGTTTATGCGTTGCGTGACATTAAAATGGCGGCCCGATAAGGTTCTCGAGTAGGTCAAAAAGATGAGTCATTACTCAAGTTTTTGCTAACTAAACAGTTGTTGCTCTATAAGAAGTGTTAATTTCAATGTGTCGGAGCTCTAGAGTAATAACTTTTCGTTCCAATGGCAAAACTCGATGACAGATGTTTTTGTTACTTTACGGCCGCCATGTTTGTGTCCCTCCGAGGGGCACAAACATGGCGACTCCATACTAAGCTCTATAAATTTGAATGAAACACTTCTCCGAATAACGGGAGAATGAAAAACCGCACAGACCTAAATCTTGGCGAGGTTGTTTATATATCAATCATCTTTCATATCCCAACTTCTTGACTTACTTCATTGAATGGTTATGATTTTTATTTCTGATGGCGTGACACTGCAAACCAGCCATTCGGCTTATGTTGCTGCTGGCTGTGAAATTTGTGACAGGAAAATTGTAATTTTGTCAGACAAGATATAATTTTGACAGGGAATTTGTAATTTTGTCTGGGAAATTTGCTGGGATATAAGAGGGGGTAGCCCTGCGATGGACCAGCATGACCATTATAGGGACCTTACGCATATACAACGGCGACGGCAAGGACGATTCCTAGTAAAAAAATGTGTTTCTATTTTACTTTGGAATTTCTCCTTTATTTAGATCTATCTAGTGTGTTTGTCGATATTAACACTTGCCCCTACTGAATACGCTACGAATGCGTTCAGTTCCAAATAGAAATATGAAAAATTAGCCGTTGTGGTTCGCGTTCTCCAGACAACGAAGAACTTGGTCATTTCACGTTGTTATTTTGCAGAGAACGGCAAAGAAATGTACAAAGAATTACAACGCATGTGCACAGCCATTGTTCTGCTCATCAAGCCTTTTGTTTAGTGACATTCTCGTTGCCGTTGCCGTCGTGTTTTGCTTAAGGTCCCTACTTTGGCGAGCATGGAAATATGCACGATGGTGTAAATGTGCTGAGATAGCACTAGTTGTCAGTAATACCACCTTTCCAATTTGAAATCAGAAGTCCTTGAAGATGTTGTACGAATCCACGTGAAATTCTCGGGATTCTACTGCAGTCGATCAAAATATGTGTATAAAGCTTACTGACTAGAGCACAGGCACACCACTCTATGTGTTCATGGTTAATAAATATGAAACGAACAGAATCTATGAGGGTTATGAATAAAGCTCTGAAAATTACATATTTATATTACATTTCGGTCACCGCGATGTCAAGCGCTGATTGGTAGATTTGAAATGGCCTGCATGCATGCCTTGAATTCCTTTGTTCGCTGCGTCTAGCACCGATCATATTGAGAAAGCTGTATTCCTGATTTCAGCATCGATTTTCTCGGAAAATGGTGGAGAGATGAAGCTCAAAATTCTGCGAAGAGATAGAGAAAAATTTCATCGATCAGCAACCGTCGCCATTCAGGTGAGATTTTCAGTATTTTGGCGTTAATTTTTGTTTGAANAAAAAAAACCCACACGAGTCGATTAACGTTTCATTTAACTTTTATTGGGATATTCAGACCGAGATGTAATTTAGATATGCAATTTTCAGAGCTTTATTCATAACCCTCATAAATTCTGTTCTTTTCATAGGTATTAACCACGAACACATAGAGTGATCTGCCTGTGACTGAAGGAACCTACTTAGCAAACCTTTCAGCCATGTATTTCTGTAATTCGGCGAGACACTCGGACTCGGCCTTTTTCATCAACGTCGAATTTAGGATTAGCTTCGTAAGGAATCGAAAAGCTTGGAGTTTGTCTTCAGCTCGAACATGTCACTCCTCTTCACCACTAAAATTCTAACCATGATTGACAAGATTTAGATTTTGTAAATCTCTAAGCGATTTCCGCGTTAGATGTGGAGCGAATCTGAACGAGATTTCCTAAGTCATCGTCCTGGAGGATCTTCGCTTCTTTTTCTTGCCGACGACGTTCTCATTCCAGTCCCTCCGCGCTTACTTGACGTCTTCATCGTCTCAAATCATGGCGGCCAAGAAAACGAGAACGTCACCAAACAAAAGGTTTAATGAGTAGAACAATATTTCTGCACGTGCTTTTGGAATCTTGGTACATATCTTAGCTGTCTTCTGGAAAACTAATAACGTGAAATGACCAAATTCTACGTATTTTTGAGAACGCGAACTGCAACGGCTAATTTTTCGTATCTTCCTATGGAATTAAACGCTGTCATTACATATTTAGCCTGAGCAAGTTTTTGACCGATAGGCGCATTGAAAAGATCTACAAGTTAAAAAATTTGAAAGTAAAATATAAATCCACGTTTTACAAGGCGTCGTCCTCGGCGCCGCCGTCGTCTTTGCTAAAAATCCCTGGTTTCGCCGTGGTTGCTTTTAAAAGCTCACTGTTATCGTGCCAGTTCGATAGAACAGTTCGGATTTAACTGTGTGAGGGTTTTTTTATTTTTTTTATTTTGCTGATTATCGTAACCAAACAAACTTGCTGGTTGCTGGATCAACCTGACCATTACTGTTTAACAGGAATCTACTAAGGCATTTTCAAAAATCTCCAAAATTTTCTCTTGCACTCTTTGCTTGCCTATGTTTTTTTAATTATCATTTCAACCTCGTCCCCAGGGTCTTCTCGACTTCTCAAACTGGCGGGAAAGGGGGATTTATCCGCCATCTTACTAAGGCAACAAAACCAGTGGGTGACTTAAAAAATACGTCAAAATTTAAACGTTTTTAATCGGAGGTTTCAGGTCTGGAGTGGCTGCTGCGGTTTATGAGGTATCGGACAAATTCGTGCTCAGTTAGAAACACGTCAGATCTATGGCCTTCAGTTCTTTTCCCGGCGATGACCTGAGGTTGTTGATTGTTGCGAAAGCCAGAAATAACGCTGGAAATAAAGATGGCTTTTGTTACATCGGTTGCGATGTAGAAAGACATAAACTTATGAGGCCAGTTAAACGAACAAGTACTTCCCGCTGGTTCCCGGAGAAAGATGAAGATCTTAAGGTTGGACAACAATATCTTTTCAACATAATAAAGCCCGAACTTGAAGGGATCCCCCATCCTCACAGAGCAAATGATTTATTGGTGAAATACAACAGTTCTTGTGTCCCAGCAGACCAGCAGCAGACCGTTCTGATTTCATCGAGTTGTACGACATTCTAGAAGGACAGAGTCATCAAACTGTTAAAAGAGTGTTTGGAAATCTGGATCAATTTAATGGCGAATACTTCTTAGAGCACAGCAAGTGCCCATCTGTTGGGGTATATATTAAGTGCAAAAAGGAAAACTTAGAGATAATAACAGTGCAGGGGAGACGGAGATGTAAAATTACTGAAGAGGGAACAATTGTAGGCAACTATATGATCACCGCAGTAGATGATGGACTTCTAGATGTCGACTCAAGTGAAGATGTGTTGGTGATATTAGGTTTGACCAGACCCTATGCAGGTTCTTCCCATCAGCACAGGAAATTACGCTGTTACATTATAGCTGTTCGTTTTGTAACTAGGTCAGCAAATGCTAATCAGCAGAGTCAATTGACGCCTCATGTTCAAAAAACAAGTGGTATATAGCAACAGAGAGGACTGTCAAACGAAAACTTGACACTAACTACACCACTGAAGACAAGTTTGGTTCACGGCGATTTAAAACAGAATGTTTCCCGGCATGCCCAATCAATGAAAATCACTCACTGATTGCCAATCAATATAATCAATGAAATTTAATCGGTTGATATTGATTGATTGATTGATTGATTGACCAATCAATTATTATAATCAATACTTACTCACAAAATGTCTTAATTGCTATTGATGATCATTGATTTTTATTGACAATCAATTCATGATTGTGTAACAATCTGAGTTTGGTAGCACATGCTGGATGCCACTTAAATGTCCATTTTGTTGATTCTTGATAAAGTAGAAACTGGAGCAGAAATACCCATATTCTGTGTTGTTAGGATACCATTAATGCCCCATTCCAGGCATATGAAGTGAAGCCTTGGAGCTGATGGCTCATAACTGCTGGAGCTTATCCCAGTTTCCGTGGCATGAAGCGGCTAGGAGTATTTCTACTCCCCCTGGACGGGATGCTTGTCCATTGCAGATCACTCCCCCGCAATTTGCTAGGTTTCCCCAACAATTCGCCGGTACCCATTTATACTCCTGGGTGGAGAGAGGCACTGTGAGAGTTTAGTGTCTTCCCCTGAAGAACACAACACTGTGTTCCCAGCCAGAGCTTGAACCCAGACCGCTTGCTCCAGGGATGAGCACACTAACCATGAGGCCACTGCGCCTCCCACTTTCCAGGCGTATGGCAATGCCCTTTAAGTTAAAAATGATTGGGATCAGCTCGGCTCCCTACAGTCTGAGCTTGTTAGTTCTCTCTGGCCATTGAATGAAAACATTACTGTGTAAGTTTCTCTTGGGATTATAACAGGAAATAGACTAGGAAAACATAAACGCAGTAAATGTTTTTCTTTCTTCTGTTCTAATTTATTTTCCATCTTTATTATTTCCATATTTGTGAAAAAGATTATGTAAATAATTAGATTATAAGATTATATTAATATAACTGAAAAATGCAATAAAGTATTTATGAATGTAATTAACTAAAATCCAACAAGTATGATTGAAATGAATGTTTATAAAAACGCCCCCAAAGTATACAAATTATATTTGAAGAGCATGTGTCAGGCAAGAAATCCTACATCGTGACGAGTATTTTGTGATCGAATATTACTATTAGAGATTGCATGACTATTAGTTATGATTTTGCCATTGTAACGAATAGGGATAGGTTTCAATATTTCACAATTTGTAAACAAAGTCCACAGTTTTCTACTGTATGAACTGATGACTGCATGCATTTAAGGCTGGTTTTCACTTGAGCATAAGCACAAGCATAAGCATAAGCACAAGTGTAAACAGCCACGACATAAACATAAGCATAAGCAGAAACATAAGAACGAACCCACCTATTTGTCTTGTGCAGTTTTCACTGGTAATGCACTTGACATAAGCATAAGCATAAGCACAAGAAAAACAGAACTGTTCGGTTTTTAATCCTCACCATTAAAAGATCCAACTTCATACACCTCTAACCCCATCCATCCATGATACAATGACAGGGTAAACACATGGAGCTAACATGATCATAAAAATCAAACAATAATTCATTTTCAGAATCAATACATTGGATTAAGGTCTTCAGATTTTCACATAAAGAAATCTTTGCAGTACCTAATTATCTCCACAAAGGAAAAATAAAATTTTCAAAGCCGGTCATAAAGACAAACAGCAAACTGCCACACAGAGCTTTCTTGAATTTTTACATAAAGGTAAAATTAATTAACTACCCAAGACAACATCCCCCCTAACCCCCACTCACAAGTGAACCAGGAAGTTCTAACTTTCACTGTTTTGTCCCTATATATAAGAGTCACCCTTAGCAACTAGGGCAATTCTGGCAGGCCTGACAACCTTTCCTCAGTTTCGGCTTTCAACTTCTGGATAGGATTTCAACGGACAGTTAACACGATCACATCTATTTATTCAGTTTAATTTAAAAGGAGAAAAGACTCCTCAAAGGTGTCAGGAAGAAATAAAAGCCATTCTGTTTTCCCGGAAGACTGGGCATGAGAAGATAATCTCATCCCCAGGGTCGCCTCCGTTCGAATGCGCATGATATTTTCAAAATGGCGGCAGAACGCTGCGAAGTTCTACGAAGCTGTGTCATGTCGATTCTGCTTTAATCTCACGAAAAAGTGCCAGGAAAAAGCGAAATATATGACACAATAGTCTGGAAGGAAATGTTCATTTAGCCATATAATCACATTATAACCCTGAAGTAACGCCAATCAAGCAGGGTCTGTACGTAGTTTCAATGTTTGTGTTTAATTTCAGTGTCAATAGCACGTGGGAAATTAAAGCTACTTAGAAGAACGATCAAGATGAGTACGAAAGCTGCAGGCCGTAGAAACGCTGTCCCCACAGTGGAACAGATCACTTCAGATCGAATCACTCAGGTAAAGTACAGAAAAAATTCGCTGTGTCTCTATGTCTGGCACCCGGACAGGATTTTCAAAATACTCCTTGTCCGGCAGTCAAAATTATTTTTTTAAAAATTTCAGTTAATAATGTCAAATCCTTGTTTTATATGGCTGAATACTAATTTTGGTGAGCCCGGCACCCGGTATATCGGGATTTATAACTTAGACTATTATAAAATGACCGGCAGTCAAAACGTTTGAATAGCACTCCGGTTAGCCTAAAAAGCTCTGCCTGTTTACGGTTACCTTTGAATAATGCTAAGGGTAACTCGATAAATACTTAAAAAATTCCAAATATTGCCGGCCGGTTGCGGTGGTGCAGTGGTCATCAGTATCGCTTACCAGGCCGTCAACCCGGGTTCAATTCCTCTTAGGGTTGCCTATCATAACGTTCATTTTACGTTGTTTTACTTAAAAAAAAAAAAAAAAAATTAAGTCTCACTGCTGGACATGGAGTATTTTAGGAAACCTGTCCGGCTGCTGGACATGTAGCCAGAGCAGAAAAAATTTGACTTGATTCTTTAATATTATTAACTTAGCACAGTTTTCAAGTGAATCAACTTACGTTAAGCTACACTTTATGAGAAAGAGAGCTCTACAATACGTGTTGGAGTAACTTATGAATACGTAGTTCTAAACATCAGCATGGACCTCAGGGATCAATGTCTGTGGAAATATAAGCACACGGGAAGGGATCTTACAATGTATCTCAACTGACTTTTACATACATGTAAGCTTGAGCGTATTTGCATCAGTCAATAGCCCTTTTTACGGTTAGCTTTTCTCATTTGCATCACATTGTAATGTAGCATGTATGTGAGGCAACCTTGGGCTATTTTGTAGTTTTAGCCTGAAATTGCCTTGCACACACGTTGGATTAAATTGTAATGCAAATTAGAAAAGGGCTATTCCAGTAGTAACTCTTCCACCTGGGCCATAGCCGGACATTTGCCCATGTTTTGATCCCAGGTGTACACATTTGAAATTTTGATTGTCTGGGGGCTGGGCATTTGACTACCCCTGTGTAAACCCTGGAATATTTGGCACCCTTGTGATTTTATTGTTGCACATGGCAAAGAATGCAAACATGATGTTGTTTTCTTATTTACATGTATTTCTTCTCCTGTTGATCACATATGGATCAAATGAATTTAATTCCACGTAATATATAGATTTCTAAAGCTATCAGAAATGACCTGTTTGAAAAACATCTTTTACATTTTTTTTTTGGATCATACATTTATGCACCTATCAATGTTAAGCTGCTGGGGGCGGGGGAGGCGGGGCAAAGGTGGGGGATTTGAACTCCGATCATCTTTTCAGTTCAAATGCCCGACCCCAAGGAAATTAACCTTGGTCAAAAGAATGCAAATTCCCCCATCCCAGGGATATTAGTGTTGTTCAGAAGAATGCAAATTCTCCACCTCTATCTAGAAAAAGGTGCAGGTCTGTCAAAAAAAAGAATTAAACATCAAAAAGTTGTAAATAAAAGGTTGTAAATAAAAGGCTACAAAGTAACAACTTCAAAATGCAATTTCTGTTCAATATAAAAATGTCACCTAATTTATATTAAAATTGTGATGACCCCCTAAACATATACGACTAAACAAGACAGAAAACATGGAAATTCTTATCACGACTAATGTCCTACACCATTGTGACATTTTAATTACTTACCTTTTAAACAGAAACGATGGAAATGAAATGTTAACATCTATCTGTAGTAGAGAAATATGAAAAAAGGCCCATAAGAGGACTCAAGATCTTAGATGTATTCACTAATTCATAATAATACACTGCACATGGTAGGCTCATAAAGATGAAGCTCAATAATTCAATTTCATTTTAATACTAAAATTATAACCATGCTTAGAAACAACATGCATTGCAAATTGAATGTATGAAGGTGAATACAGAACACTATCCTGTAAAATGTTTCATAATTTCAATTCATTTGAGCTTAAATTAAAAACAGTCTTACGTTATGTAGGATTCGGAAATTTGTTTCCATACACAATTTTCAAAATACAAATCAATGATGTTTAGCAGTGGAGTTAACCTTTAACTAAGGAAAAACTAAGATCTGTAACAAAGGCCTTGTTTACAGAATATCTGTAACAATGTTCAGTTCAACACCAAACTTCTGAGCATCTCATGCACAGCCAGTGATCTGGAACATTGTTTTCTTCCAATTCTGTTCAGTTTTTTCCAGTCATTCTCAGTAATCCTATATGGCGTCGGTAGTGCCCAGTCTACTAACGATTGAAGTCAAAAGTTCTGACCCCCGGTGACCCCCTGCCTATGCCTGGCCNATTGTTATTTAGCAAAATTGTTCATTTATGTCATTATGTACAAAATAGAAATTATATTTTTTGACTGTTGTAATAATTACACAATAATAAACCAAAAGTAGCTATAGTAATTGTTTGGCATTATCAAGGATATTGTGACCAATGGAAGGATAAACACATGCAAACAAAACAACACAGAAAATAATGTTTATCTGATGAATAACGCTTTTTATCATATGGCTTCACTGGTCTGCGATGTCACTCCTAAAAAGGAGAATTCTGATTGGTTACCTTAGTGGTCTGAATCTTACAATGTAGACATGGATCACTCATGAATTAATTTTGGTAAATTAATTGCACAAAATAAACAGTTTTTTTGTTAAATTGTATATTTCTTAAGTATTTACCTTCAGTTTGGTGGACAATTCCAAAAAAGCTGCCAAAAAAAATAATGCCCAGGGATTGGCCTGGTTGGGGGGAAGGGGCGATGGGCAGCAATGGAGTTGAGTGATGCATTTCTCTTTTATCTCTCATTGGTTCTTATTGTTTTTTACTAGCTTGCAAACCAATACTGGGCTCCAGGAAAAGGCAAGAAACCCTTTAAACCTCAGGTACATAATACTTGCACATGACTGTACAGCAATAAGTAATGTATATACACTGTATCTATAATTTCCATCAACCTAATGAACCTGTAAGAATGTGAGCTCCCTCTGCATTGTGTGGATGTAGAAAACATCCATACCTAAATGTACCTAAGTAGAGATACTGGAGATTCCAAGAGAGAGGAGGGTCACAGAAGCTAAGATTTTTATAGGAAAGTTTGAACCAAAACTGAAATTTCAAGAGGGATTGGGGGAGGGGGATAAGTGGGGAGGTTCAGTCCAAGAAACCCCCCCATGGATGGGAGGGGTATGGATTCATGTATTTTCTGGAACAACACATGGTAATCTTTTCCTTGCTGCTGTGCTTCCTTGAGTGCATTTAATTTGTTTCTTGTTTAGATACTGACTTTACTGAGTGGAAATCTTGTTACAAGTATTTCAGAGGCAAATTGCAAGCTTGTTAGCTTGTTTATTGGCTTTTTTGAAGTGAGCAACTAAAAGTGCTTCCAATACAAACCATGATTAGCAGGTTGAACACATCTCCGCTCAGTCTTTGGGCTCATTACTCAGCTTTCAATTTTATTTACAGGCATTAACAACACTGGTATGAATTTTTGTTTTTAGATTGTCGATGATATTTACTGAAAGGAAATAAAAGGAAGCAAGTAAGTTTAGCCTCACAATTCTATTTGGGAGAGAATGTGGACAAGAATATTATAGATTTATGTAGATTGTATTTTAAGGGAAAGAATTTGTGTATTACTAAACATTCATAAACATGAAAACTTACACAGTCATGTTAAAAAATTGGGCTTTTTAGATCCCCACCCCTCAGAATTTCAAATGAATTTCCACTGGCTGGGTGAGTAATATTTTCTGTTGGTCTCATCACATGTCTTCTGTGATCTATTATCGACCAGATGGACAGCAACATGGAATCTATTTGTTTTATAAAATAAAGGAACAAAAAAGAATGTTGGAAAAGTCATTTTAACGCTGGTCCTCCAATAGATCACAATTATTAAGAACCCATTAAAAATGCCATAATAATTTTTACTTATTTTATACATAACATTTGATTGCAGAATCAGAGCACATTTAGATTTAATTCACTAATAATTTATTATCATTTTAAATTAACAAGACAAATTCTAACTCTTTTGTTTAGATTTGCAGTGAAACGTGCCATGCTTCTAGAATTCAGGTATAATTAATTTTTCCATATGCAATTAAGACAATCATCATGAATCATAGACAGCACCCTCAGCTGACACCTATACCACACAGGCACAGGTCAGTAAGATCTTGACAAGATCTTACCAATAAATTATTTTCTTACTTTAAAAAATCAACTCTCAGTTTGAAAAAAAAAAAAAAACAGAAAGTTACCAAGATCATGCTTGTACATGTACATCTGGTAAAGATCTTACTAAGATCTTGTAAAGATCAGTGCTTTTTTTGCAAACAAGTACTGTGCTCTGCATATGCATACGATATGTCAGAGAACAAGAACATTGCTTAATTACAATTATGTACATAACTTACATTTAATTAATTTACTAATTAATGTATGGTACATACATGTACAGACTATTGATAATACATTACCTAGTTCACGTGTAGTTTTTCTCATACAATGTTTGGGAGACTGTGCTACACCTTTATTTCATAGATATCTACCTGAAATCAGCAGTGTACAATATTTGTATAATAATTATTATACATAGTCTAGATACTTATACATAAATTGAAGGAGTAGAAATGATAAAGTTGTCTGTTTTGTTTTGTTTTGTTTTGTTTACTTGTAAGTTTGCCTTAATTTGCTTTTCTTTTTTTTTTACTTTTGAGTTCTCTTCATTTGTACTCTAAGCAGTACAGATTTACTTCAGTCCTGTCTTTGTATCTTTGTACAGTCAATACCTGGAGAATTACCTGTGGGCCAACTTTATTTCAAGCAAGGTTTGTAAATTGCTCAGTGATAAAATCATTTTTAAACATACTTGATTAACAAGACTGCCTTTATCATTTTATACTTTAATTCCTCACAGGCCTCTGTGGAGCATGTAATGTCCGTGGTAGTTATGGTGAATGAGAAGTTCAGAGAAGGCGTTCCACCCTGGGAGGTAATAAATTTAATACTATAACAGTACAATTAGATTATGAGATTTCTATTCACATGTAACAAAATTTTAGATTATGAGCCCAAGATTTCTAAGCATGATAGTTGATAAGGGGAATGGCCCAAGTCAGTTATCACACATACAAATTGAGAATGAATAATCTAGTAATTGTCTTAGTACACTGTAAGGGGTGGCGAATGGTCCTTCAAAAACCATGGGTCTCACAAAATTTTCGCCTAATTTCACGGGTTTCGCAGTCTAATTTTTAGCAGTTATGTGCGTCTTGCAGTCTCGATTTTTCTCACAAAGCTGTGCCACAGTCTCGATTTTTTTCAAGGCTAAGAAAGTCACGAAGTACCTATTTGTTTTTTTTTTTTATTAGTAAAGTTAAATGACATCACAACATCTTAGAACCTGAACGTCTTGAGTTCGCATTCAAAACACATTAAAGTCTCTGTCTCGCAATTGAAGAAATCAAAATATCTTGGGCTTGCAAAGAAAAACGCTGATCTCGTCGTCTTGCAAAGTCTTGCAATTACCATTCGCCACCCCTACTGTATACAATAAAATTGGACACTCGTTGCTCAAAACTTGAACTTATAGCATATCCTCTTCACAGAAACTTCTGATCAACAATGCAGAGAAATGGGTACAATTTTGTTAAACAAAAACCCACTGCTACGTAGGTTACTCACTCTCTACAACAGAACAGATACATGTAGTGAGTAGCATAGCCAGTAAGATAAGAGTGTTTGTGATAGAACGCTAGTAGATTTATACTAAAAGGTGATAGTTGTTGAGGCCAAAGACCGAATCAATATACTGTCATCTCCTGGCATCTTGTCATTTTGTTCATGATCTCCAACCACTTCACAATAATGGCTGATGAAGCGTGTTAGCTCAGCCAATCAGATTGTAGCACTTTTATTACACTTGTAGATTCTTGAGTTTGTAATGAGTTATTAATGATTAAGAATTATTTTTAATTGGAGATATTATGTGACTGTATTGTTTTGTGGCATTTTATGTTTTATTTTTGTAACATGTTCATACAGTCTAAGTTGAGATACGTGTATCAGACGAACATTTTACATTGTGATTTAGTCATATCCAGTGGTGTGTATATCTATGGTGGGTTTCTTGGCTTTCTTTCGAGACCATCTTCTTACCTGAGAACATACAGCATATTTACTGTACAGAAAGCACTAATTAAATTAGGTATGCTGTGGAGATTGTCAGATGTTGTTTTGTAAAGTACTACATGTACATTGCACAACACTGTAGTACCTTAACCAAAATGATAAAACACCAGTTGTCATTTGTTCATTCTGCAGTCATTCAAGGAAAACCCACAACAGTTCCATGGGTTTTTTCAACGCATTATAGAAATAAGCTTGGCAGGTGAAGATGTAAGTATCATCCTTATATATTCATCTTCTTTTATAATTTGGCTCTTATCAACTACCTTTATGTTTTAATTTTGAAGATAGACAATTAATGTAATTTTATGACATTTTGATTGTCCTGATTTGTTTAATGTTTTGTTGATTTTTAACCATAGGTCCTATCCATCAGGGAACAGTCAATAATCTTGAGCTTTTTAATTCACTGTTTTAACAGTCTGGTATGTTCAGTAATTACCAGTAATAAAAATGTAATATGTATATAGATTTAGCCAAGCCTAAAAGTGGAGCTCCTGGGCCGGATTGTTCAAAGCCCGATTAAACTACCCAGGATAAGCTAGTGATAATTTTGATTTGAGCTTTGGAACTTTGCAGTGAGGTTTTTTGTTTATATTGTAACTTGGCCTTCTATTTTTTTGAGTTTGAATAATCTCAAACTACACAAAACATTAGCAGTAAAAACATTTTACTACAAGAAAAATTTATACTTCATGTAACTTTGAATCCTAGGTTAGTGCTAACCACCTTTCAAACAACCCAGCCCTGATTACAACAAGTTAACGTGGCTTGAGCTCACGATCAAATCAAAAAACAACACTTGGTCAGCAGTCAACTCCAAAAAACCAAAAAACCTTTCAATGAGCTTTAAACTTCAAATTCAGCCCACGATGGTCACGTGATACTAGTCAGCAGGTACCTTGTTTTGACAGCTGTCAATGTGGATATCCAAAATCAACGATATAAAACTGTAAACCAAGGCTGCATGTCTCTGTCAACCTATTATTTGGAGTATGGCCGCCATGTTGCGCGACTCCGTCGCGGTCGCAGTCATCACTGTCGTGCATACATACCCATGAGCAATACTGCTAGCCATGATAACCATGAGAAAATCAATTCATGGGTTTCCTTTTCTTTCCTATATGAGTATAGTGCTCCAGTTGGCAGCCCTTTGGGCCACTGGAGCTCGGCTTTAAATTTGCATACCATTAACACAAACTAAGTCAAAAATTACATACATGTATGGAGGGACTTCACCCCTGTCTTGTCGAAGGCCCCATCTCTAATGCCATGTAAACTCCTCTTCCCAAAATTTTATCATCATGATGACAAAATGATCCTTTTTCTCTGTTTCCTTCAAATAATTATTCATTAGTCTTACTTCTCGTTCCTTTTCTTTTTCATACAAATCATAAAAAGTCGTCTAAATATTCTTCAAATCTCCTGGGACCTTTCACTATATAATGCCATGGCATTTTTGTATACATGTACATGTATTTCCGTGAAACCTATAAGAAAATCTAATTTAATAGAAGTTGGCAATGGCACATCCCATGGAGAAGCTCTTTGTCCACCTTTTCCAGATCAAATTAGAACTACCTGTAATTTTTGGAAGTGTTGGATTTTGTTTAGGGAGGAAAATCAGCCAAAACCCAGAAAAAAACCCTTGGAGCAAAACAAACTCAACCCACTTATGATCAATGTGGGGTTTGGGACTCAAACAAAGCTGTGCATTGGTACGAGTCATCTCTGCTCCCCATTATGAAAGAATAGCATACTGAACATGCAAAAAACGTAGTCTGAATTGTTCAAAGGGATGTTACAGACTTAATTAAGTGCCTTATGGTATAAAAAATCATTCACCCACATTTAATAAATGCCTCCCACACGAAACACTTTTAATTTCTGTTTTTCTAATGCCTGCCTCTAATTCACATGAGCCCAGTGTGTAACAGGGCTGGCTCGTTTAATGGGACAATAAGCATTTAATGACTGGCCCCAGGAGAAACAAAACTCACTGTTTCCCGCGGGGCCAGTCATTAAGTGTTTTGCTATTTTGTACAAAACTGTTTCGTGCCAGTTACCTGGGCGGGAATACTCATATGGGAAAATTTTCATCCTGGTTAGAAAGCAAAAAGTAATCAGCATGCATTTCCAGTACATGTAGTTTAATAGTCTTACTAATAGATTTGGTCAATGAAAGATGCCATTTTATTTAATGTACACAGTTACATTATAATTAAAGTTTTAAACAATGCTTGCATTCCATGGATCTTTAAACTAAGAAAAGTCTTTTTTTTTTTTTTCAGGAAATGGATCTCATCAGGGAACAACTGCAGCACTTAGTATCTCTTCCAATGTGGATTTGTCTTCTTCCGGTATTTTGTTTTTCTAATTTCTTAAACGAACAATGTACAAACATAATTTAAACTAAAAATAGGACAGTGTCTCAGCTGATCATTTGACATTCTCTTTCCTAACTCCTGTAATAATTACCATACAAACACTGTTGAGTTCAGTTTTTCTAATCATATTGTGGACAAGTGGAATTCCCTTCCATTTAAAAGTTACATGTATATCAGTGCTAGTATTTCAAGTTTTAAGTGTGGTGTAATTAACTTCTTTATGAATATCAACTGGTTGACTTATAGAAAATTTAATCAAAACAAATGTGACCAAATAATAATTATACATGTACAGTCAAATATATTGGATGTAAAGATTCTACTCTGGAGCAAAATAAAACATTGTAATGTCAATGATTACAATCTAGGGAAGGAGAAGAGGAAGAAAAAAAACCAAAAAAAAAACCAGATAAACGATCATGGATTTTGTGACTTGATTCACATCAAGAAATTGAAATTCCCATTCTGGTGAAATTTTGATGTATCATAGGATTGCTTTGCAAATATGATTTGGTGGAACTATTTTTGACTTACTAGAGTGCAGACTTCGCAACTTTGTTTTGCATGCATGGTTAAACAATGAATTAAATAAACCTGGCTTTGTTTGTGATGCAGGAACGTTTAGAACAGGAATTAAAGAGTGTGCAAAAGTACAGAAAATATTGGAACCACATAAAGAAAAGAGACGCACAGGCAGATGAACAAACCAAGACAAAGTGAGTGCCTAATGTAACAGGTATAACCTACAATGTAGTCCTAATTTTATCTTGCATGTATTACTAAATGTATTAGAAAGCACCCTGTAAGAAAGCTGTAATAAATGAATTGTCGAATTTTTCACGGCCTCGAAATGCGAGTTTTCGATTCTCCTTTTGAAAGCTACAAGTCAAAGGGAACAGTAATTGTCTGGTCAGGTTTCGATTGACAGACGTACACATCGACACACGCATATAATTGTAAAATTCAAAGGTAAAACAAAAATCCGTTTTTTACCAGGCACCGTCCTTTGAGTCGCTTTCATCATTACAGCTCACTATTGTTGAAATGAAAACCATCCTCAAATTCACTTCTTGCAACTCCTGTTATGAAGTTGCATATACACGTATNCAACAGCAACAGCAACAGCAACAGCAACAGCAACAGCAACAGCAACAGCAACAGCAACAGCAACAGCAGCAGCACAGCACAGCACAGCACAACACAAAAACACTGCAATGCAATGACACTACAATGAAACTATATTATGTAAAAGAAATCGTTAAAGGAAACGTTCTCTACGTAATATATACAATCTAACTATGATAAAAAATATGTTATAAAATATAATCGAAAATACATTTTAAAAGACTCAATTAATGTTAAAAATTCTTCACAGTTTTACCGTTTTTTTTTCATTTATTAGGGAGCTTGTTCCACTCGTTAATTATTCTGATGAAAAACGAATTTTGGCACAAACGTTTTTAATAATCCCTTCTTTTTCGTGAGCAGTCTCTAATTCAATTTTTCTCCAATCCTTACAGGTTTCTAGACACGAACGTCGCCTTTCACAGATTGACGCCATAAATGAAATGCCACTGTATCCTACAGAACAGGTTACTGAAAATTTTCAATATTTTTTTTTTTACCATGTGTGAAATGGGAAAATTGCGCAAGTCTGAATTACAACCTGACGGATAAGATTTCATATGTGTTTATATCTTGTAATTAAAAATAAAACTAGTATTACTAAAGAAAACGTTTCAACGCAATCCAATCACTTCAATTTTTTTGTTAATATTTGTTTTCCAGATTTTGTGGGATGAAAATATTGTTCCAACAGAATATTATTCATCAGAAGGTACTTTGAGGGAATTTGTCAGTATTTTTTCATAGTTGTTTTTGTTTTAATATTAAACGTGTCTTATTTTATATTTTTTTTTCTTTTGTTCTTTCAACAGACACGTTAGCTCTTCCAAAGTTAAACCTGCAGTTTTTGACGCTTCATGATTATCTTCTAAGGAATCTGAATCTCTTCAGACTGGAATCTACATGTATGAATATACTTTTTCTTTGCTTTTAAACAATTCTTCACGTCAGTTTTCATTAGCGTACGAACTATAAACCTCAATCAGTTTTTGTGTTTAAAGCACTGAGCTCTCGCCTGCTCCTCAATTGATTTCAGTTGTATTCTCAAATCTAGACTCTCAAAAAAGAACAAAATTACCCATCAGCACGNGTCAGATAGAAAAAGAAAAAGAAGAACAGCCAACAATGTCATCACTTCTTTTTTACGTATACTTCTCTTTGGTTTCAATGTACTAAAAATTATTTGTTTTTCTACTTTTGCTTTCGGCAGAAAATAGTGAACTTTAGCGTGATAGAGGTAAGCAAAGTGTTATATTATTCTGCATTAAAAGAAAGAGTGTTAACTATAGTATAAAACACAATGTATTCACTACCTCTGTGTAACTGTCATCAGGTGTCCAAACCTAACATTGGAGAGACACGCCCATCTCAAGTCAGAGCTGATGTCACCATTAACTTGAACATGAGAGATATTGTGAAAGCAGAGTGGGAAGGTACGATATTAGTTGCATCTAACAGATTGACATCTTACGGCTTATTAGTTATTTACGAACAAATGTTTAATATGTTATTAATGTATCTATAATTTTGTATTTCAGCATTAAGGAAACATGACGTGGTTTTTCTGGTCACTGTACGGCCGACCCAGAGAGGGCCAGTGAAATATGATCGGACAAAGCCGTTTAGAGAGCAGGTAATTTTGCTGCAACGAGGTTCAACTGAAGTGGATCGTGGCGAATCGAGAGATCAGGGTCGGGTTGTTCAAATCCCGATTACGCTAACCCAGGATTAGCGAGAATTTCGATTTCATTTTTTGTAACTTTACGGTGAGGTTTTCTGTTTATATTGCTTGTCCTTCAGTTTTGAGTTTGAATAATCTAAAACTACACAAAACATAAGCAGTGAANCGTCATTGGATTATGATGCACGCTTACTCTGAGTTTGATATCGCGGTTTTGCAGCAATGTTATGAGCTTGTTTGAAGCATGAGCTAGCGATTCATAGTCACTGGTCAACACAAGTTTTTCATTGTTTTAGTCAGCTGCAAATAGGCTTCAGAGACCATAATAACGTGATTCTTGTGTCATCTGGTAACTGAACTATTCCCTGTTAACAGGTCCTGAGCCAAAGCCTGAATTTAAAGGAGATGAGAGAACATTCCGCTTGTGGCTGGACACGAATCAATATCAACAGGACATGGCCGAGACTGTTCATGGATCAGAGGTGATCAATGCACGGCCACTTAAGGTTTTCCATGTATTTAATGCGCAGCTTCTGTTGCCTAATGATTGTACAGTTACATGTAACTAATTTTCTGTATGCCGTTACATTTATGTAAAACGCCGTTACTTTAACATACGTAATATGTTTGCAATGTCATAAAAAGTCCCCAGTGTAACACTAGCTGAATTCAGTAATACAGTTGTGATAGAAATTATACAATCGAAACAAATTGAGTGGCCAATTCCTCTGTGAGATGCACCTGCAGGGAATCAAGGTAGTTGTATTCATCAAAATAAATATCTAGTCCAAGATGATGAATACAACTACCATGATTCCCTGCAGGCACATCTCTTATAAGCAACTGACCATTTACTGCGTCTTTTAATAACACGCGAACCTGCTCAATCAACCGTTGTTTTTTCGCTGCCATCAATCTTCTTGTCGGACGCCTCAGGGAACAGAAGTTCAGTTCACCGGATTCAAAAGGTCGCATGTGTGGGTTGTGATTTAAAGATTTCGTCCTATTCTCTTTGTTTCTATTTTGTTTGTTTGTTTGTTTGTTTTTTTGTTTTTGTTTTTGTTTTTGTTTTTTAAGTTTCGTTAATTTTCATCGTAATATTGGCTCTCGAAAAACGGTTTTACGTTGGTCAGGTTTTGAACTAAAGCGCGAAAGTGAAAAGCGCAGTAATTAATTTTTGGAAAGTTGTCCAAGAGTTCAATTTTCTTCTTACTCTTCATTACTGTCACCCTCGTTCCTAGGGTCTCTCTCTCTCCGCCCCCGGGAAGAGAGAGACCCTGGGAACAAGTTGGCATTACTGTCACTCACAGCTGATAACGAAAGGTCAAACGGTAGATCTTAATTGACATAACTACTAATTAAGTTGTTTATACAACATAGAATGTCGAACTTTACCTTTATGTAACCACATGCTGTTGTTGCAGGATGTTTACGAGACTTTCAACATCCTTCTGAGGCGGAAACCGAAAGAAAACAACTTCAAGGTACTGTTTTCCTCTCTAATAAACAAACGTTCCTCAGTGGCTCCATACTGCTTGCAGTACTGCAGTGGAATCCCAATTTTTCGAACCTCAAAGGGTGATGAAAATTAGTTTGAAAAATCGGGTAGTTTGAGAAATCAGGGGTAAAATTACAGTGTTCGACTGAGGAGAGGGGAAAGAGTTTTGGTTCGAGTCAGCAGGAGATTCGGACAATGAAGGATTCGAGAGCTCAGGTTTCTAAAGTAGTTAATAACCTTTTGATGGCCGTTGTCATTTCATAAGGCCGCTGTAACTGAAAAGGAATGTGATCATTGCCTCCAAAAATTCCGAAATGGTAATTTCTTTTATTGGGTGCTGGTCGCTGTTAAATTTTGGTGCGCGCTACGGAGACACGGGTCTCTGTAGCGCTACGTCAGCAGACTGGAATTTTTGGGCAAATCTCCCGTGTCCCATGAGCGGGGGAATGCGCACAAGCTGGGGAATGAGCGCGGGATGAGAGAGGTCTCTGCGCGTATGCTAAGGCTGCTTTGACTCTGTCTGCACTTATGTTACCCTATCCGTAACGTTTATCGCCATCATCGTCGTTTATTTACCTTAAAAGAAGTATATAAAGACTGAACTTAGATAGGGCGAGGAGAGACCGCGAGAGTTCTCTTGTTTTGTGAAATAGTTTCAGAAACAACGTTAACTTTTGAGTTTTCTTCGGATTGGTTTGACGCTACTGTGTTGTGAACTAAACTTATGACTTTGTTTTTCTGAAGGCTGTTCTAGAAACCATCCGTGATCTGATGAACACAGAGTGCATTGTTCCAGATTGGCTTCATGATATCTTCCTGGGTTATGATGATCCCGGAGCGGCTCATTACAGCAGGTACAATGATTAAAATCAGGGTTGCCATAGATCAGGAAAGATAGNAGATAGATAGATAGATAGATAGATAGATAGTTGGTGCCAATTTCCTACCTTGCAGCCAGAGGCTGAATTGCGGAGGAACCAGAGGGGTGAGATCGGACGTCAGCACATGAAGGCGCACTTTGCAGCCACTTCAGTCCATGTATGATCTCACCTTACCCACCCCAGACCAATGACCGGCACAAGTCAGATAGACCATGACCCCGGGTTCTACGTCCCCTACTCTTTTCGAACAGTGTCATGCGTTCTTTAAAGTCCCACAAGAACCAGATCAGTGAAGTGCTGTGAGACGGGGCCTACGGTTTATCGTCCTTATCCGAGAAGACTTGAATGTCTAACCATTTGTAGATGTAATTACAAAGGCAGCACATTCTCCTCAGTTATTTTAAGACCCTGAGTGTTGGTCCGGTCTGGGGCTCGAACCTTCGACCTCCCACACAGCAGTCCGGCGCTCTCCCAATTGAGCTAACCAGGCGGCGGTTTACTGACTTGATGCCATTAAAGGCTGGAAGAAACATTTGGGGCCACTCAACGATGTTTTTTTCTTAATGAAAACAATTAAAATTGTTAATGACTCATTGGTCGGTCTTAATGAATGAGTTGAAAGGATGGCTGTAACGGGATGCTGGAGCCCGCTACTATATCCGACATGTATTTTGTATTTAGTTGGTCAGGGAAATTTGATTTTTGTCAGGGAAAAGTCAGGGAAAAGTCACTGAATTTTGAAAAGTGATGTATGTGGCAACCATGTAAATGTACTAAACAGCTGAGATTTTTGCGAGTATCTTTCTCATAGAAACAGTTTTAGGAACAGATATGGCGTAACTAGTGATGGAACGCGTTAGATTTCTCCTTCGAGCGCAAACGAAAAAAAATGTGTTGTCGTAACCTTATACCTTTGTATTTTTATCCGGTAGCAATGCTAGTAGAGATATTAAACTTTCGTTTCTCTGCTTTTATAATATGATTTCGCTTCCTCGAAGCTTAGGGTGTAACTATGATCTTGATATGATAAATATTACATGGACTGGAAAGTCCTAGTCCTCTATTACAGCACTTTTCAATCGAGTGTTGAAGGTAACTCGTATCTGTTTTGGTTTTGCATTGCTAGGCTTGCTCGCGCCACTTTTTCATCCAATCAGAAATAAAATCGAAACCAATGCGACTCGCTCATACACTTTTACTCGCGCTTTGCCTCCGCTGCATACATTTCGAGTTTTGATTGGTTCGCGGGATTGTCTGTGTCCTGGGTGATTGGTCAGGGTGGGTTATTGGCGTTCAATTCAAAAGCGCTCTAAAACTCATTAAAAAAGGGTTGGAGAGGGTCACTGCGAGAGTAGCAGTGACCATCCATTTGTTATGGTGATGTTTTTTAAATTATATTTGTATATGAAGGCTGAAAGACTTCATTAGAGTGTCAGTGGTATTTAGCTTAAAAAAACTAATTGGGGACACTATTCACACATATACTTTGTCTCAATGTAGAATGCCAAACCAGATCCGAACACTGAACTTCAACGACACGTTTCTCGACTTTGAACACCTCAAGTCGTGCTTTCCCCAGTATTCAGTTAAGGTAAGTTTATATCGATTAATGCTCCATCATTATTGGTGGGGGCTTGTCAGCATTTTGTATAATTTTACAACAATTACACGTACAATTCAAGTATCACAATTTCTTGTTTTCGTAAATTTTCAGTGCACTACGGACAACCCAGCTGAACAAATCCCACCCTTCAAGTAAGACTCGTATTCTGTCCTCTTGGTTTAATGTGTCGTTGTGAGTAATTCACGTGATTAACACGAGTGTACATGACATTTTTAGTAAACAAAAAAAGGGTAACACAAGATTTAGATTGTCAAGACAGGAATTTCAAACTGGGGCATTTTCACAACATAGCGAATTTCTCACCTGCGGGATTTAAAATGTGTCTTGGCAAATCTCTTAGTGTTTCAAGTCCCATCAGGATAGCATAACCTGGGAGCAGTCGTTCTTTCATTTTCGCGGTAGTGGAAGACAAAATTTAAGGGAAAAAAAAAATGTTTTTTGTTCCTCTTTTTTCTCTCTCTGGTGGGCTGCGCGAAGAACGTTATCATTTTTCACTCTACGTGTCTGTACCAGCATCAAACCTCGAGGTATCACGCGCTATAATCACGACGGAAAACCGTCATGTATCACGAAGGAAACTGGATGTGCGAAAGATCGGAATTTCCTGTCGTTGGTGCTTTAAATTTGTTGATTTACGTTTCTTGTAGGATAACATTTCCTGAGACGTCTTCTTCGAGCAAGAAACGGAAACACGATGAAGACGAACCAAAGGAAGTGAATCAAGAGCTGCTGGTGGAGCCATTTGTGGTTCCTAACCGCGGACCGTATCCCTTTAATCAGCCTAAAAAGTAAATGAATCTGCTTCTTGTTGTTTTCGTTGCAAGTTTTATATCAAGCACGAAAGACCATGTTTGACCACATTTTCAAACACAGAGAAGAGAGTTGAAAATGCGACGCGTAGCGGAGCATTTTTGACGAACTTCGAGGTGTTGTGTTCAATCACGGTCTTGAGTGTTTGATACATCGTCTCAATCGAACGTAAAACTAAGGAGAAACCGAAGAAATCAAATCGAAAAGATCCCCTGTAATTAAAATCAGATATCCAAACACTGTCACGGTCATGATTACCTTTGTGTAATGTGGTGAATTATTTATGAGCTTGAGGGGAGTCGGTTCCTTTATGTAAATTTTGGAAGACCCTTTGTTCTCTCCTCTAATTCAAGCTTCAGACTTTGTAATCTCATGCCAACAGATTGAGAAGAGCGCTTTCAGGAAACAATTTGTATTGACTACACTCTTGATATAATAGGAATGCTGTTCCATTCACCGCCACACAAGTAGAAGCCATCAGAGCTGGAATGCAGCCGGGTCTCACTATGGTGGGTCATTAATTAGGGAAGACAGCAATATTTGGGTCTATGAGTTTTGATATGGCCTTATTTCAGTACTTCAACGTCCATGGCAATCATGTAGCGCTCCAATTTGCTCAGTGTGACTACATAAAAGAACTGTTCACTGTTTTTTTTGTTTTATATCCATGCCCTTGCATTTTGTGGTATCGTTGCTAATTCAGCGTTAAGCGTTAAGAATGTTGAAAAAAAATGGTTTGTTTTGTCTTTTTGTCTTTTTTTCCTTTTTGGTCCGCTTTTTCCCTGACTATTTCGTTAATAAGAAAACTAATAGCTTTTTGTAGGAAGTGGTAGGATGGTATGATAGCGTGTGTTTGTTGGGTTGTAATAAAAAAAAAAGTAACTAAATAAATAAATGAAGAAAATCTATTAAAATACACCTCAATATTCATTCAAGTCATCAGAACGCAACATTATTGGGTACAAGTCGGATTTCAATGATGAATTTATGTTCACTCTCATTACGACTTCTTGTAGCTACAGGCTATGCAGACAATTCTTGTCATTCTCAAACTATTGAACCAGTTCTCGCGTTGTTTGAGCTTTGTCTTTCTTCTCTCTCAGGTCGTTGGACCTCCCGGTACAGGAAAGACAGATGTGGCTGTACAGATCATTTCCAACATTTATCACAACTTCCCAGAACAAAGAACACTGTTGGTGACTCATTCTAATCAGGTCAAGTCTTGTAATGTCATGGCTAAAACAATTTATACGTGAAGAAATACCGTAAAATGCCACGTTAAAGCCC